GTTACTCCTTTATAATTCGCTCTTCTACTCTCATTTAAACTACTGTCAATTGGTATGGGGAACAACAACAATTTCAAACCTTCAACGTGTTCGTATATTACACAAAAAATGTGTTCGTCATATTTACAATGGGCCTTATGGAGCGCCAAGTACTAACTTGTTCCACCGCTCCCATGTGATTAGTGCATTTAACTTGTATAGATATCGATTAAGTACCAGGTATAAATTAGAAACACAAAACAATATTACTAACTTACGTGATCTGGCTCATCTTCAAATAAAGAACATAATTAGTTACTCAACAAGACATAGAGAAAATTGGGTAGTGCATACACCTCGTTCGAACTATGGAAAAGATTGCCTAAGTTTCATACTGCCGTCTTTATTAAATGAATATCATCTTGTGCATTTTGATTTATTTACCTGTAAGTACAGTGAACTCCGTAGAATGTATGAAACTGACAGAGTATGATTTTTTACGGTTTGTTTTTTTGTTTAATTGTGTGCGCCCTAAACATTTATGATCACAATGTTTTTTTTTGTTCTTTGGTGAGTGTGTTGTTGCAATGTATTGTTAAGATTACTTTTCTTATAATGAAATTAAATGCAAAGGTGCAAGCGAGCTTTTCTTCCCGCCTTTTTCTTTTGTTTTTCTCTTTTTTTTCTCTCTTTTGTAAGTACTTTAGCAGGATGCTGCTTAGCTGCCAATACTAAGGGTCTGTGGACTCGTCAAGCTGCAATGCTGCAGCTTTTTTCCACAGCTCCTTCATCTTTGTACAAGGTGAAAATAAACTGATTTGATTTGATTTGCCTTATGTCCAGACGCAGCCGACGCTTTAGAGCTGATGGGACCAATCAGAGAGCGTCAAAAGATCACCATCATGGTGTTCGTCGTGTTCTATCATCACTGAACCAATTCGCATTTTGCGTTGCGCTGTGGCGCCATCTCACGGGCGCGACGAGAAACAATGTGGTTGGCCTCGAAGTGCAGACGGCGCACGCGCAGTCGTTTCTTGCAAAAGGCGAATTCTAAACTGATGGTGAATTCCACTCGTAGATCTCGAGCGCTTTCCAAAATCCGCGAGGGAGGCAAAATTCCGCTCCGTGGGACCCGCTCCGAATCGACGAGGGGAAGATAAACTTGCATTCTTAGAGCGAACTCCCCCACACCCCTTCTCCCTCCGCCGTACAAAATGGCCGCCGCTCGAACTTGACCAGCCCACCAACGCCTCAGCCGGCTGATCTTTCCGACGACCAGTGACGACTGTCACTGCTTAGCTGCAGAAGTAACACGCGACACAGGCCGGGCGAAATAATACGTACCGCGGCGCCCATGTCACAAATAATGAAGACGTCCGCGTTCGGCACCGTCACATACCTTTCGGCCGCCTCGAAGCGGCGGGGCACGGACAGCGATTGCCAGCGGTGGAGTTCAGATTTCAGAAACACAGAGGTAACAAACCATCACTTTCGCGGTCGTTGCCTAACCACTTCTTGCTTTATTTCACGGGAAAACGCCGACGGAATGCAGTGTAGAAAGGTAAACAATCACTGGCTGCAGAATGAATAGGCCTAACCTTGCGTCTGCCTCCGGCTTTTCTGTCGTTCCTTTTCTCGTTCTTCCTCTCACGATCACAGACGTCAGCGCTTACGATTTGCCACACTCCACGTTCCCGGCCTTTTATCCCTGATCTACGCGAGGTAGAAGCGTTCGAGCCGTCACAATCCAGAGTAAACAACCGACGCACCCGTACAGATCCAACTCTACGACCCGACCGGCCCGCCGATCTCTCCAACCTCGCCGCGCATGCGCACCGCCGATTTAGACGGAAATCACGTGGGCCGCTCTGTCAGCTTCCGGAGAGATCCGTGCAATCCCGCAGAGCAAGTTCGTCGGTGTTTGGGACGCTCCGTGGAGCGGGCGCTGCCAGAGATCTACGAGCGGAAGATGACCAACTTGAGCCAGATCTGCTAGCGGAATATGCGCGCTCCAAATGGAGCACTTTTGGAGCGCTCGAGATCTGCGAGCAGAATTCACCATGAAAAAGCCCAGTGACTCGCGCTTTTGACACTGCTCATCGCGCTGGTCCAGGATAGGCCTGGTGTTGGAACGCTGCAGACCCAGCGATGTTACGGGTTTCAGTTGAGCCAGTTGGTGCATGTTACTTGGACTGGGGCCAGCTGAACTTAGAGGAGCTGGCCCCAGTCCAAGGACCCAGCGATGACTTGACAAATAGTTTTTTTAGAGTTTCATAACTTGATGACGTTGATAAGACAAACGGTTTCTGCCATTTCCACCAATTTTATTAATCGTATGGAATTGTCTTCAGTTATATTAACAACATACGTTTTATTGTGTTTTTTGTGATGGGGGGGGGGGGGGGGGTGTTTTCGCAACGCTGCTAAGATTGTTAGCGCTAATTTCGGAACGGCACTTGAGGATGAAGGTCTATACATGAACTTAATGAATCGAGTGGATTGAGACATTCTTAGTTTCAAGATTATAGTAATCTGGAAATGAATCACTTCGAAATATATTCGATGGGGACGTCACGGTCCCGATTTGTTCGCTATGTCTGAACATCCTGCCAATAGAATGTGTCGCGCCCGCGCTTTGCGTGTGCTTTCGGGTTTTTGCAACTGCTCTGCTGTGTGCACGCGCCACGTGGTCGACGTCCAGGCGCCGTCTTGGTACTTCCAAAGCACCACGAGCTTGCCGAAGGGCAACGCAGCGGACGTCCAACACTCTTTGTCCTCTCGGTGACACCAGTGATGCGATCGCAGAGTCATTGGCGCCAAGCCGCGCCAAAGCTCACTGTACTCTTCGGCGCTGTTACATTTCAGCAAAATGTCGAAGTGTAGTCACAATTCAGCAAACTTCCGAAGCGTAGACTCATCTAAGAAAACTCCAAAGTGTAGCTACATATTTGCGCCGACATTGCGCCAGAAATTAGTTTTGATCTCTATTGCTTAGATTTACTATGACGTATTATTCGAGTTTATCGAGAACGAGGTGCATCGAGAACGATACGGTGCTCAGCAGTTTCGGGATATTTTGGAGTGTTCGTGGTGGGGTCTCTCACGGCGGGATAGTTAGCTCCGTTGAGCGCGCTTCTTACCACGCTCTGAGGCGTTGCAGAGAAGCCTCATCCGCGGCGTAGTGATTGCAATTTTTGCGTATGTCGCTTCGCCGCATCGCAACCTCGTGCTAAGGGAAAAACACTCTTCCGGAGTGCGATGGTGCGTGATCGAAGCAATAACTCGCTGAATGTTGACTTCACTGCCCTAGCTTACAGTAAATTAAAATAGTAATAATAATGATAAAGTTAAGCATGTTAAGCTGTGCATGCTGACGAACTGCGTTAATCATTGGTCGTGGTCCTTTTCTTTATTATTTTTATTTGAGACTTAAGGAAGGCCAATTGGAGAATTGAAGAATAAGTAACCTTAATTAAGTGTACACCTAGGCAGCACTTTTTATGTTCAGTTAACACCTTTATATTGCGCCCCCTCCCCTTTTTTCTGTTTGAAACTGATCAGTGCAACAAGACCTTGGGATTTCTTGTCCACGGTCTTGTTTTTTATGAACATAAAATTTTGCATGCCGAATACCACCAGTGTGCGTAATTAAATTATACTTGTAATATCAGTGTGCTTTGCAGCGGATGCTAGCCAAGTGGTTGCACAAAAATACGAAGAAGAACCTTTTATAAGTTGGATGGTCCAATAACTGGGGTATTCGCAGTGAAATATCTACCTGTGTTATAATATCAGGGGCGAATTTTCGGGTCTGGCCTGGAGGGGCGGTAGGCATTCGGGCGGCGGAGCGGGAAAGGGCGGGGGGATCTGCTGAGATATATCGCTACGGTCGAAACGTCGCCCAGATATATTTTGTTAACCCAACATTTGCTATGTCACCGAAAACTAAACTTTTGGCCGGTGTATATGAATGGTTTTATATTAAAAGAAGTTGACCTTGGGGAGCTGAGGGGGAAAGGGAAGGGAAGGGGAAAAGTCGCTCCCCCCTCAAAAAAAAAAAAAAAATCCGCCATTGTTTAATGTATTTTTTTTTTTTTGCCCCAAATGGACATTTAGCAGCTCAAAAGGTGCTCCAAAATTATGGGAACGAATCACATCACTGCGATGACTATGAAACTAAGCTCCAGGGTGACAAAGTCGTGTAAAAAAGAAAGTAGTAACAGTAATTCAAAAGTAATGAAAAGTTCGAGGCCAAAAAAAATAATTGAATTAAAATCACTTCAAGTCAGAGGTGGCTAATTACTATTACTAATTACCCGAAGGGTAATGAAGTGGTGTAATTCACTTACTGAAGTTAAATGACGCGCCTAAGTACGCCTCCAACGTACAATCAGCGTTGAAAATGTGCATAGCATCGACTTGATGTTTTCAAACTGTAAAATGCGACGGTAGAAGAAACTGGGCATAAGTCTCGCGCTCTACGGTAGTGCGAATGTTAGGAAGAACTATGCATTCACCACAGAAAATAGCTGAAGCTGTGCATCGTGGCCATGTATTCCCGTCGTCATTAGTTTATATGTGATTGCATTGCCAAGCGTCTGCTGCAAACGTGCTTGTGTGGGGTAATGACATCTTGGTCATTTTACGGCCCGATTATTTATTATTATTTATACGATGAACGCGCGCCGAATAATACAAGTTTCGGTTATAATTTAGTGTGGTTAGCTCCTCAAAGATGGCGATAGCCATCCATGCGGATTTAATTCTTAAAGCATTACCTAGATGGCGCAGCCTACTTAAACAATTTCTAGTTTTGACGGAAGTTCTTTATTCTTTATTATTAAGCTTGAAATATTTATTAAAGACAATTAATTATGTTTATTGTAGTTCATTTTTTTAAATTTTACTTGTTTTACAAAACGGTTTATTATATTTTTAACGTCACGTGATAACAGCAGTCAATCTTACAGTGCGAATAACCGAACGCACCATGTGCGACGACAGCGCCAGGTTTTGAAAGCGGTCACCCTTCGTACCTTCAAGCAGACGACGCGACCGATCGCAGCACAATGGGTCCCTGATCGCCCGAGTGGCTGTCGGCGTTTGCGGTGGCGGTGTCGGTCATGCACGAACGTTCGCCTCCGCTCAACCGTTTCCCCGACGAAACGAGAAGACCGCTCTCTCCAACGTCGGTAAACATCGTCCGTCACCGGTTCACGAGGCTGTCATGACTACTTTCGACGGGTACGGCTCAAGAGCGAGGAGAAAAACGCGATCAACAGCGACCGTCTGTCTCGCTAAGCCTAACGGACTCCGTGTCGTCGTCGTCGTGCGGGAACGACGGCTCCTGCTTATTGGCAGGGATGTGACGACGACTGCGTCGCGGTACCATTGAACCGGGCGGATACAGGAAATTGGATCGTGATGCCTCCGCTGGCGAGGGATCACGCGGCGAGCTTGCTTGCGGCTGAAATGAAGTCCGCGGCGGCGACGGCCAGCAGCGGGTGCGTCTGCTCCGTCAAGTGCGTCCTCGTCGGTGACGGTGCCGTGGGCAAGACGAGCCTGGTCGTGAGCTACACAACCAACGGGTATCCGACGGAGTACGTGCCGACGGCCTTCGACAACTACTCTGGTGAGTTTGGTTCCCACGACGCGATCAGCCGATGCTAATTAGTAACGCTAGCCCCCTCGGGGAGCAATTTTTATGCCGGCGAACTCAAGGCGATCGCCGTTATCTTCCGGGTTGCTCCGTGGCCGTGCCTATCTGAATGAAAGCTCGCAACTCATAAAAGGAATGTCAACATCAAAGCCTGCACGAGCGGATCGGTTATAAAACTTAAACGGTACACACATTGGACAGATTTGGTAGATTGTTCGGACAGATCAGATACCTCCGATAACGATACTAGATCAGAACGACATGAACGGGCGGATGGAACGGTAGGCAGGTGTGGGTGTCATCTCCGACCTTCCGTTCATGTTTTCTCCCTAAATGTGTGTAATGTAAACAAGCGCGTGTAATTCCTATCGTCTCGTCGCTTTGTCGTGTAGCAAAGTTCGAATTTCGGCTCGGGTTATTAGTCCCTGCAAGTTTCATGAAGTCAACCTATTGCAGTCACCGACATCGTGTAAACGGCAGGGCATCTCTTTAATTACTCTTTTTCATTCAGCGTGTTTACATACGCATGAATACGTTTGAGCTCTAATTACGAGAGAGAGAGAGAAATGTGCCTACTGTTCCGGTGACCTCGGTCGAGACTTTCTACTACGTTCGTGTAAAAAAATAGTAGAAGCTGTTGTCACTTTTATTTCCGTGTCAGAACGCAATTGTCTTCCCCCGTGTAAACTTCGCGCGTTTCACGCGTCATTACGGCGGTCGGAGCTGGAGTAGAATCTTGTGGTGGTTCGCATACCTTTTCTTCAGGCCGTGTTGACGTTTCATCCTTGGTTTTCTTTTTGTGTTACACACGTTACCCGTCACGTTATGTTCCGAAAGTTCCTTCGCCGGAAAAACTCTGCCACTGTTGTCGTTTGTTGTTTTAGTCGCTGATCGGTCGAGAACGACATGGAGGAGTGTGAGCTATCTCGGTTCCAGCCGTCGACAACGCTTCAACGTCCCGTGCAACTCGACCGCGCTCGCGAACGTGATGGATTTCATGAAGCGCGTTCGAAAGACACGACCTGTCGTTCTCACTCTGTCAGTGACCCCGAGCATGTTATTATCGCTCCCCAAATGATAAGGTTGTTAACCGATAAGAACGCCGAAAGCAAAACGATGCAGATAACGTAATAAGCGTCGCCCTGCGTTTGCTAAGCTCTTGAACGAAAAAATAGAGCCTAATTGCTCGGGTATGAAATGCGCGTGTTTGGGATGTAAATTTAGCAGACCCGAAATTTGTATACTCGTATCGCCAGCGTGAAAGTTTACCTGAAATTTTCCTCCTGGCACATGAGCAATGAAAAGAACGATACACAGATCCCCGCCAACCCCCCAAAATTTGATTTCCTCAATTTTCCTTCAGACCCAAAGTCGCGTCACGTCGGTAAAGGCTATAAACTTTAGTAGTATGAAACTTCTAATATATATTTATGTACGTTCCTCGTTTGGGGCTTGCCCGGATGTCGATGATCAAATGATGGGAACACGTCGAAAGTGAAATTGAAATGTCTACCAATCTATCTTTCTATACCCGTTTTGACCTCATGAAAACATTTGTGCATTGTTCATGCGCTGCGCGAAGTAGTGCTTACAAGATTGGGTTGTTAGAGGAAGAAGCGATGTTTTTGGTGTTTGAAACCGTTTACGTCTCGATAAGATACCATATACCTAATCTGAAATGTACCTACACATGCCTTTATTCTCTACATGGAGGGCGAAATTAGTAAATTTTCGCAAGGTGTACTACGGATCTTGAGGTGACAATGAGTATAGCCGACAGTTGTGACGGGCGAAGTCTCGCAAATGATACTGCCACTCGCGTAAAATTTGATTGAGAAGCGAGAGAACATATCGACCGTACCCACTTTGCCAACTCGACTTATTGTGTATCTGGGCGTTATCTGTTCCAGCTATGACGTGCCGACTAAAGTCACTGGATCCAGTGACTTTAGTGCCGACGAGCCCAAGCCCTTTCTTTTTCCCAGTCTCGGGGTGTTCTTACTATCTGTATTCTCTTTTGGCACAATGTAACTTAAAGGAGCTATGCAACAATTTTTGTACTTTGCGCAAATACCGCTTAAAACGGATCCCTAACGTTAATGACCTATGAAACACGCGTTCGTTTTTCACCCCACGCAATAGAAGTCCCAGAAAAAAATTAAGAAAAACGAGCAGCGTTCACCCCCTCGACTCACAGCCAGAACAAGCGGCCACGTGATCTGGAGCCGACTATATGCCGCCAGTGTTAATCATAGTCACGCGCTGGGGTTGGCAAAGCGCAGGACACGCGCTGAGTTCCAGACATTGTTATGGCTCGGCTGTTGCCGTTGTTGCAGCGATTGGACACGGGTCACTACCCGAATGCTTCTCGAGCTAGCAATTGTCACGAGCCCAAGTCGAGTGCCCACGCAATGCTCGGGTCCAATCTATGAACCGCATTCAAATATCGTCACTTGGGTGTACTGCGATCCCCGAGTTACGTCATCAAATTTTGCAAAGGAGAGATTGAATGAAAATGATCGCTTTTGTCGTTGAAATTACACCGCAACAAAGGAGTTTCTTGGCCAATGGCGTTGCGTGTGAGTATCCTTGAGTCTCAGGTGTGCCGGTAAGCTCGTGTAGAGAGAAAAACATTCCAATTGAATATCGTTGCACAGCTCCTTTAAGGAAGCCGAGGGGGAGTTTACAAATTCAATTCACCTACTTGTCTGTGACCGTAAGAAAAAAAAAGGGGGGGGGGGGGGTTTGGAATTGCCAGAAAAACTTTATACACATACACAAAGTTCGAAATAAACTTTGCAGCTGAGTTTGAGACGTTGCCTCCTCTTTTACTACCTTCTGTTGTGTTCTCTTTCTGCCCCAGTCTCAGGTTTACAATCATGTTCACACAAAGTATCTCTTCAAGGTTTTGCCAATTCACTTACATCTTTAAATATATGCAGACTGTTGGGAGTTAAACGAGACGCAGGCCAACATTTTTCTGGGCATACTGCGCGTAGCGCAGAAAAAAAAAAAAAAAAGAAGAAAATAAGAGTGATGCCTCATTGATCATGATGTAGAAAACCCGAGACTGTGGTAAAAGCAAGGAAACGGTGTCGAAGAAAAACGACAGGGGAAGAGAACGTTCTTTTCCCCTGTCTTTCTTCTTCGACCAAGTTTCCCTGCTTTTACCACAGTCTCGGGTTTTCTACATCATGATCAACATCCACCAGCTCACCTGCGCACTCACTGTTTTTTCATGCCTCATTGGTTATGGCCCCCCCCCCCCCCCCCCCCCCCCCCCCCCCCATAATTAATGAGGCATGTGGTTTGGAGCGAAGCTTTTAAGCTAAATAGTGAAGATACGGGCATAGTTCTGGTTTGAAACTTTCTGGGCATCGTCGAAAGCCACTGAACAACTTACAAGGCACCTTCTGAAAGATGTAATCAAATCACCCTTCCTGGTGATTGGACCCCTTGAAGTACAATAAAACTAGAAACCAGAAAGTACATCATGGGGACCGACGGAACTCGGATTGGAGTCGGCAACCGATACGTCTGAACATAAAAGTACGTCGGTTATTACAGCATATCACACAACTCCAAGAAGCTCCACTGGAAGTGGAGCTTTTCTCTTTAACTTTTTAAACTGTCTGAAAAATTGTAATATGTACAAGAGGAGTTCGGGGAATCGCATAATTGCGCTGCAGCGAATTAGATTGCGGCTTTAACCGACAAGAAGGCCAGATGCCAAACCCTATCATTGCAGAATAACAGTTTTTGAATCTTGCATCCACTCAGTATGACCAGCGTCCCATTACTTCGTACTATGAAAGTAAGGAAGAAAAACAAACGTTCCTGTTTCAATGCGCGTTCCCTGGAATGGTGTAGTCTGTCAAAAGAGGTTTACCACACTGTGAGCACGCGACGGCCTTGGACAATAAATGATGCTGCGAGAAATGTTTACGCTCCTTTTTCTTTCTCGGGAACACTGGAACAAAACCGCTTCGAACGAGATTACTGTGTAGCTAGCCGCTCTTATCAACGTCGGTGTCGCCACGCCGGTGTCGTTATCTTTCCGCGAGGACCGCCCGAACAACGCACCATACTCTTATAAACTAGTCCGTCTGCTGTCTGTCGAGATTAGGGGACGATGGAGGAAATGTCTGGCAGCGTCGACAGTTCGGGATTTTTTTTTTTTTTTTTTCTTCGCGCTTCTTGTATACACGGGATGTTGTATAGTGCCTTTTTTTTGTGTGTTTATACGATACCACCGCTTTTTTTTTATCTTATACATGGGAATGGGAGTAATCAGCTTCAATGGCGACGTTTAGTGCTGCGAGACAAGGTCGCTCTCTGACCTCCTTTTCTTTTGTTAGGTGTCGCTCGTGCTTAATTGGGCCGGTTTGAACCGGAGCCTTCCCGATTACAGCCAGATATGCCTAGTCATCGCCCGGTGCAAAATGCGGTCAGCAAATCGAGCAGCGTTTTTCACGATGAAGGGAAAGAGCCACTTTGGTTTGCGGTTTAATGATACTTGCCGACGCTACTATATTTGATTGGGACCAATGAGAACTGAAAAGAGGCCTAGTGACTTACGTGCTTGACGGTGCTTAATTGGTCCCATGAGCTGGTAGCGTCTGCTGCGTATGGACTTAGCTAAAACAGAAGGGGTTTTTGTTTTTGTCTTATTTAATTTATCGTTACTGACAGTTTACGCGGGGCGTGACTTTCCATGGTCGCGCTCTTTTTCCCTCCTGATTGGTTCTTCGGGATTCTTATCGGCGAATGGCGCACTCTGATTGGCTGAGGAGCAATAATGAGATGCTGAGGAGCATCTTATTGATGCTAGTGAGATGGTCCTCAGTTAGAGATGCTCTGGATACGGCCCTGTATTCCGCAGCAACCAGGAAGGGTCTGTGTGCGTGTGTGTAGTGTGTGTGGTTGGGGAAGGGAACGGAAAAGGGGGGGGGGGGGGGGGGATACGAAATATTCCGATACTTTTTTTTTTTTTTTTTAGATTCTCAATTTATGGTGTTTGTAACGCGTCTCTGACAGGTGCTTTTTTTACCACGTCCAAAAAAAGTGGTTCCTCGATTTCCGTCCGATGACGTCATAGAAGTGTCAACGCTGTCGCCGATGTTGGCGGTGTCAAGGGGTGTCCAAACAGGACACTACTAAAACGCATGACTCCGACAAATCGTGAAAATTGAAGCGCTTCAATTTCACGATTTGTCGGAGTCGTGCGTTGTTGTAGCGTCCTGTTTGGACAACCCTTCACTGGATGTGGCTGACGCCTCCGGTTCCGCTGCAGGTCGCTCTCCACAGTTCGCGGAATTTTTGGACGGCTAGAAGTGGGGGCATGACGACAACAACTCAGTCGCGTTTGCCCGCTATTTTTTTTTTTTTTTTTTTTTTTTTTTGGGGGGGGTAGGGGGACGGTTAATGGTTTATTTTCCAGGATCGCGGCATCCGACAAGGATAACACTCCGGATTTTGTGTCGTCCTTTGTTGGCACTTCGGGACCGCTTTCGACGCACGGGTGGAAAGGGACGCTACACACACCGGTCGGAGACGCGTTCTACGGGCACCTTGCCGAAGCTACCTAGCTGTACGTTTTCTGGATGTTCGGACTCTTGGGGGGCCATGGTATTTAGTATCTCCCGAAATGTACGACAGCTACAGGGAATGAACGAAGTCTAATGTCAAACGGTGGCCGAGTGGGCTAAAGCGCACACCAGCTCGGAGCACGTGGAGCGAAAAGCTCCACTGCAGAACCCAGGAATCCTGGGTTCGATTCCCGCCCCTGCCCGTTTCGATCTCGATGAGCATCGTACCGCGGCGTGTGGTCGGTCGTGCTGCACTGGCTACATTGCTCATTTACAGCTGGGAGACTCGTCGCCCGTTGAGGCAGACCAAGTTCCAGGCTGTATAAACATACACACAACCCAATTTTCCGATGCCAGACCTAACATTCAAATTTCCCCTCTCTTTCCGGTGGCCAGAAAGCAGAGAGTAGCGAGTTTTAGCAGACCGTGTTTCCCTCTCCGTAAGCCTCTCCGCTACCCGGAACTCTATCGACGCGCAGGCGCAGTGGCGGTTTCTTCGTAGCGGAGGGGAAACACGCTTTACTAAAACTCCCTATGTCGCGCATTATTTTTTTTTTCTGCCACTTGCCGGCTGTCGTCACCTTTTCAATTGGGCCAGGAGAGGCATTCGGTTCGTGAAAAGAGTTGAGGACCAAATTTTGAAGTCAATAACTTCGCGAGAAAGAAAAATATATTGACAAATTGGGCTAAGGGTCGAGGAGGAGCTCTTCCCAGCCCTTTCCTCTTTAGGAGAACGAACGCTGGAGAGGAGGTCGCCTTCTCTCCAGCGTTCGCTCTGCTACAGTGGAAAGGGCTGGGACGAGTTTCCCCTGAATTCATAATCCATGACTGACTGTAGCTAGTCCAGCCATGTCCAGTGGTCTGTTCTGTTGAGCCAATTTTTAGGCAAATCAGCGGCAATAACAAAGGATACCAATAATATTGCCTCGTAATCGCTACATAGTCACACGTTACGGATCATCGATAGGTGTCCATCTTATTCAATGATATTTCTTTTTCTGTTTCGAATGGAACCTTGCATTGACCAAGCACAATTTTGCGGCACTCGTTAACCGTAGGCATTAGAACAAAGTACGTACTACGTAGTAAACATTTTCATCTGACCCCTCATACTTAATACTCAAAAACAGCGTCTCTACAGTATTATCTGTGTTCTCGTTTAATGTCTCTGTCAACAAACATTAAAAAAAAAAAAAAAGTTTCCCAAAAAGCGCAACGCGAGTGCTTAGGGAAACCTGGATCGACTGCGGGGAAAACCAAAGGTTGCTTTCAGGTATCGAGGTTAATTAGCCACTGCCAACGACCGAACTAACGACCGTAACGCCGAAAAAAACAAAGAAAAAAAAGAGTGGCAGTTTGTTTGGGTTTTGCGTCGAGTCGGCTGTTTAGGAGGAGTGTGTAACTTTGTTGCGGACACGACGACTTACCGCCCAAGACACGACGTTGCTTGCGCAGACTGCGTTGCAAATACGAAGGGACGGATTCTTTGCACGCTGTGTACACACTCGACGGCACCCCAAATGATTTTTTTTTTTCTTTTACGTTGTAGCATTTTTTTGCTTTGTTGTCTCAAAGTCTGTGAGGGGGTGCGTTTGTGTTTCTCTTTTTGGTGGCCGCGGTGAACTTTGAAGCCGCCGAACGTCGCGGCGCGCGTGGGAAAAAAAAACCGCCTAGTTCGTTCCTGTGTGGGTCGGGGAATTCCCCTTAGACAAGACGTTTTTTTCCTTTATTTTGTGTACTTTTGGCCACTTATGTGGGCTGCTTTAGCGCAGCCGGTTATTTGGTCTATTTTAGCTCTGCCGCCGTGTCGCTTCCTTGTCTGACTTACCCGGGCCACGCTTTTTTGGGTGCTGACGTCATCCATAAACATCGTAAGCACTGAAAAAGGAAGCTTTGTTTATGGGATTGTTTTTTTTTTGTTTTTTTTCTTTCATATACTGCGTTTTGCATATGCGCCACGTCGACAAGGCAGAGAGGGGTTAGGTTAAATGTTTAATAATAATAACTATTATTATTTTATTTATTTCATGCATCGTCATGTCTTACCACGCCTTATCAAAACGCCCAGATTTTTATGTGAAAGCAAACAAACAAAAATAAAGCAGCAGAGCGTGTAGAGCCAATGTCTAACGGTGACTGCCTTCACGGGTTGACACTTTCAGTGTACTATACTTCGTTTCAGCTTCCGTCCGAGCGCAGCCAAAGCTATGTGTGGCCGAAGCCAATCACACGCCGGCAATAGGTCACGCGATCTCGCCTGCACTTTTGTATCCCTCCGCTGCGCTGCCGGCCGTCCGCGCCGCCCGCGCTCGCCGAGTATTTCGTCTGCTACGGGTGTATCAACGGTGTCGTCTGCTACAGGTCCCCTGCTACATCCCCTGCTACATTTAGTCGCAGGGGATGTCAGTACGTAGGCTGGCCACTGGCGTCTGTGTCCGAGCTCTCCACCTGTTAGGCATAGTTTCAAGATGTAAATACACATTGCAAGGGCGGCGATGACCCGGCCGTTGATGTTTCCTTGTATTGTCTGGATACACCAGAGCTCCAGGCGCAGTCCTTTCCACCTGCTTCTCGGCGTTCAATGTGATCGGCAGGTAAGGGGGGCCCTGATTTCGCCGCGTATCAGTGAATTGTAGTGGCCCGGACGCTTTTCTTGTTTACAACGCATTCGTGGTACGACGCGGCCGGAGTCTCCTGCCGAATTTGAAAGTAGACATTCATCATGACCTCTCGCGCCTGACGCCCAAACGTGCCTTTGCTAAAGGACGTTTTGAAACGACTCGGTGGGAAAAGCAGCGAAGCACGTGATTCGGTCATTGCGGGAACGAAATCACACAGAAAAGCCGAGCGCTGCGGCAGCGTTGCCAGCGTATGTACGAGTTTTCACCAAACCACATGCATTTACATATATTAATAAAAACATAAACTTCAGATGTTTAAATCTTTTAGTTGCAAATCATTTTCAGCAGAAAACATCTGAAATATTCTGCAATGTTTACGCACACAACAGTTATCTGAAAACACAACTTTTCCGGACTACTTTGTGGTGCGTAGGAATGCGCTTCTCGAAGTTGCGAACCGTCCCTCAGCCTTTGGCAGCGCTCGGACGGAAGCTGAAACGAAGTATAGAATAAGTGGCTACACGATAGTCGCTCAGAATTGTGGGATGACAGGGATCACTTGGAAATTAAACACCTAACCCAAATAGAGAAAAAAAAAAAAAACACACGCACAACACCGTTTTGGAATTGATTGAAGTTTCGTGGTCCCTTGAAATGTTCGTTACTTGGAGCTGGTGAATGATCCCCGTTGATGCTCGGAATGGGGATCTGAGCGGATGACGAGGAATATGACCCTCCCACGTGGTATGATCTCCCCCTTCTAAACAAAAACAAGAAGAAAATAAACGAAGGAGAAACATAACATGGTTAATTTGAAATGGGTTGCTCTCTTTCTGTTCGCGCCGTCTTTGTCATCCTTTTCCTGTCCGATTCGGGCTCTTACGGTCGATCTGAAAATACCGCAAGGTGGCGTGCGCTAAAGACACCAGAAAAATGGCGAGTCTATCAATTCTACACAGTCTCTTCAAAGTGAGTATTATAACGTGTTTGGACTTCCCAGCATAATGGTAACTTCTTTTCTTTTTTTTCGCACAAGAGGGCGTAGTTTTCGAAGGGCTCTGTAACGTGAAAAACGCCCTCGACGAACTCGGGTAGAAGACCGAGTGTCATCGGCGTCTTGAACGATGCCTATCGCTTCGCGATTTTCGAATGTCGGTATACGTCGAATTTGTGTGATTATGCGTATAATAATAGGGATTTTTCGTAGGCCGCGTTTCCCCCTCCGCTCAGCCCTCCGCAACGAAGAAGCCGCTACTGCGCCTGCGCGCCGATGGCCTTGACTCTAGAGTTGCGGGTATCGTAGCGGGTTGGCGGAGAGCGTTGCGGGACGGCGAAAACCATCGACGAAGACCCCCTTTTATTGGTGCTCTCCTCGTTATAAGATGTAACGAACGTGGCTTCGCCCTTTCTTTTTTTCCTACGTTATGCAGAAGAAAAAAAAAAAAAAACATTGGTGGTTGACTGTGTTATATCAGCGCGGCTCGGTGTGCGTGTTATCGAAAGCTCTCCGCTGCTCGCTGCACCTTCGGTTCCGGGGTTCGATCCCCGTCGCTGCTCGTTTGGGCTGACTCACGTCCCGCCGTCTAAACCTGCACACAACATAATTGCTTCTTACTGCTTTTTAGTGCAGAACAAACAACACAATAAAAGCACTTTCTTTTCTTTATTTTTTTCAAGAGAAGGAGGTTTGTTAGGCGTTCTTTTTCTGACTGCTTCTGTTCCTCCCTCCCGCAGTTGTGGTGACCGTCGACAACCAGCCGGTCAGACTGCAGCTCTGCGACACCGCCGGACAGGTAAGCGCAATCCACATGCGCGAAAAATCCATCCGATCCGACAACCGATCCGGCAGTACGACCGCCATGATCCGAAAAGTTTGGTCGCTTCAGACGTCGGATCGGCGATCTGGCGCTCGTCCGACGTGCCAGATAGTTTCGCACGGCGGACGGACTGTCGAAAGCGTCCAGCCAATGACAGCGCAGCTTGCGCGAACGTCATGATGACGTAATGGGTCTGGTGGGGCGACCAAGCAAACGGGACGAACCTCGGCGACGGGAAGCCGGACACGTGAATCCCGCTGACGCATTCGAGAAAGGAGATCCCTGCGGGTTTTTGCGGGACAACTTCGTGAGGATCCGTGCGTATGGAACGCGGGACCCACGGATGGGTGTCGGTTTGACGTATACGTTCGACCGTACATCGCAGCGGTTTGCGGAGCGCAAGTTGGTCTGCTTCTTTTGCAGGCGTTGTGGTGACGTCAGAACGGCGAGCTCCGATTGGCTCTGGTTGAAGGATAGTGGGTAGACCTCGAGGCAGCTTTCCTTGAGGTCTACCCACTATCCTTCAACCAGAGTTCGGCGTTCTGACGTTCCCCACAACACCAGCACCCTCCACCGCTCCTCTGTCGCACCGCCAGTGTCACGGCCCTCGACGACATGACACTTGTATGTCGTCACCAGGCGGTAACCTAGGGTTTGGTTTATAGGCTGTGGTAAACACATCCAGTCGGTCGCGGGTTCCAGGCACTCTATAGTATTAGGTATACGCATCCGACCTCCGTTACACGCTTGCGCCCAATGCGTTGTATCCCTCCAGCGTCGTACAAGAATCGAGCTTGTGCGCATTCTCGTCCAAGAAGGGGGTTGGTTATCCCTTATTTCGATAGAAGGCGCTACTAATCGAATCAGTACGGGGATCTCGGACGCGGAGATCCCCGATTCGGACATTCTGTCCAGGGAGGGGTGTTTTAGGAGGGAAGGAGAGTGGAGCTAAAAAGGGGAAGAAGACCGGGAAAGTGGTCGAGTCCTCGTCCTTCCTTTTGGCTACTTCCCCGGGTCGTGTATTCTGTCGTTAGTAATTTATTTGGCTGTGGTTAGGGGGGCACCATTAGAAAACACCCTGTGCTATCCATCTCTGGAGATAGATATAGTCGTGCGTCTTTGGCTTATACTGTCTCCGCGACACGAGGTGTGCTCTCCTCTGGTACACCTTACGATGGGCCGCATCCAACGCCACGAGCCGTCGGAGCCAATCCACTGCTGTCTGTGCGTGTCACGTGACATTCCGGATGGGGTGTATCGACGCGGGTGGTGCGTGGTCACGTGGTTCTTTCGCGGCTCTGATTGGCCGGAATGGCTCGTGGTAAGTTTCAACTGAGTGATCTATGGACTGTTGGTTCGTGTAGCTGAGAGCGTAGTTAGCTGCGTTTGGCTTGGGGAAACAGCAGTGCGTGTTGTGTCTTCGTGTTGTTTTGTTTTTGTGTTGGTGTAGTAGGGACGGTCGGGAGGTAAGGATTGCCTGCCGGCTGCGTGGGGCACGCGTAGGGAACCTCGGAAGCAGCCTCTTGGCGCACGGTAATGGACAGGAGTGAATGGATGGGTGGTCGGATGCATAAATGAGCGGGACGAAATGGAGGGGGTAATGCGGTTTATGTGTGGTTCCCAGACAGCAGTGTCTCTGCTGCGTGCACGGACGAACCTGTTTTCTTTTTTTTTCCCGCCACGTGTCTTCTTCTCGGACGTGTCGGTCGGGGGCAAAACAAGAGGGAATCCCGGAGCTCACTTTGACCTCGCGCCTTGTTGCCGTTGGGTGACATTGTAGAAGGGAAAAATCCTGCGAAGCGTGCGTGCTTGTTATACCAACAACGCTTGGAATAATCAAAGCCCGTGTTCTGTATATGGCATTTTGACGTCATCGCGGTGAGATCGAGCGCAGACGCGGTTTGGACAGCTGTGCTGCTGCTGCGTCGGCGCTGGGCCCCGTGTCCGGTCGACGCGCCGAGTTTGCGCCATCCATGTGTGATGACGGGTTACGCAGAGGTGTGCGGTTTACGGGCTTCGGTTGTTCGAGGTGGTGTGGTTGATAATTCGGACGGATTTCTCCGGCAATGCGGTCAAAGGTTTACGAGTAAGCGTGCCGGAGTGCCGATTCAACCTGTGCACTCCTCTCTTCGGGAATTTTGTAGGAAGTTGTCTGCCAGTATTGTTTTGCGTCAGCATTGGACACGACGTTCAAGAACGGCGCCTTCTTATAGAGGGACACTGAACAAGTGTTTACACTCGTTGAGAATTATTATTTTTTTAGAACGATTTACGAAAGTTTGGCGACTGTACCCAGAATCAAAATATTTGTTCCTCGTAATCTTTTTTTTTTTTTTTTTTTCGTGAAAAATATTGGTTGAGAATCTCGTGTGTTCGGGACTGTTGTCGTTCTTTTCTTGGATCACGTGGGGTGACTGTAGAAACCGGAATATTTTCGAAGTTTTAAGACGAAGAATCAATAATCATCATACGGCACTGATATCAGTGAAAAACACTCGAGAAAATGACAAATCATCGCTCTCTTTTAATTCTTTTTTTCATTCGCTGAAATGAGCGCTATAGGCGCCCATGATGTCATTTCTTTTTTTTCTTTTTTTGACGATATTAGGCTTAAGTGGACGTGGGCTCAGAGAGAAATTTTGTATTTCTCTAGTATTATCTTTCCATCCCGATAACGTCATGTCCTCGAACTTTCGCGTTCTATCATCCCTACCGCTGTCGTTACACTCTCACGAAGTTTCAGCTTTCTGCGATGCATAGCTTTATTGACGCGGGCCGAAGACCGCGGTTCTCCTTTAGTCCCGAACACGTTACACGCCGTACCAGAGCCGTATATGTAGAGAGTTTGGCCATTCGTTGGGAAGTATAGGAGACAAATAAAAGAGTCGCCATTGGCCGAAAGCGGGCCGAGCGTGTTTCAGGGCGTCTTCAGAAATTCAAATGTGACCAACCAGAAGCCGGAAATAATACCCTGGCGGTGGTCGCGAGAAACAAACCTGATAAGTGCAGCGGAGTAACTCTCGGTGACTGAAAATATGGTACACGTGAATGTTTCAATCACGCTCGTTCAAGAAATGATGGTGGAAGAATGCGACTAGCGGAACGATCAACATAATCCTTACGCCAGGCTCCGAGGGCCGGGAATCTGCCGTCCGAGCGGTCACACTCTGTCCGTGCAAAACAGAGTTGAGCGGCGCATTCGTTTCTTACATCTTTGTGCATGATCGTGATCGAAACTTCACGTGCACCCTACTTTCAACCACGAAGAGTTACTACACTTCACTCTCACGCGCTTATTAAAACCATATACGAACATTAACCTTTGATCAGAACTGTTACTCGCTACCACCGCTAGGGGATTCTTTTCGGCGTCTGGTTGGTCAACGGAGCATGCCAAGCCCTCTTTCCGAGTCTGGCGCACGCCCTGGCCTTCTATTGCGGCAAGCCAGACAGATTGGCGAGCCGCCGTCTCGGCCGCATCGCGAGTTTTCGCGGTACCCGTTTTAGCGAAATGGAATAACAAAAGAAATATTGACCGACCTCCGAGGTGCTTCGAGGCGGACAGCTAACTATACTTCGTTTCCCCTTACCGTGGACTGCATTGAAGGCTGCGAGCTATCCAAGCCCATCCACTGCCATGTGGCTGTCACGTGACCCTCGGTAGGGGCGAAACAACGTTCGATGATGACTGTACTCACGTGACACGTTCGCGGCACTCGATTGGCTAGGACGGCTCGTAACGTTTGCTGCGGTGGGTGGGGGGGGAAGTGCGGCATCGCCTCATTAAAACCGCTTCGAGAGAAAGGGGTACTACAGATGTAAAGATGCACGCGAGAGAGAGGTCGTTGCGGGAACCGGTGTAGGGGGGGGCGCCGCCATCTTTGTGTGTACCGACGCCACGCCGTCTGCTAAGGCCGGCGCGGCGGATCGGTGGGCGAGGAGCGAAAGATTCGGCAAGGTCGTTGACTACGTGGGGAGAGTTCTTGCTTGTGGGGCGCGCCGGCACGCTGCTGACCTCTGCCTAGTGGAGGAGACGCTGTCGGGCCGAGTAGAGGAACGGAATGTCGTCGGGAACGCTCCCGAAGGTTGGCGGTGCAGCGGAACGCTGGCCCTGCCGTTTATTACGGGTCAAACTTTTGAATTGTGTTATAAGTAAAAGAAGTTGTATCTTGTTTTGTTTCAGCGACTTTGCACCCTTGTTTTTAGCTGGAGCGAATGATGCCGCGTGGTCTGGGCTTGTTCGTCTGCTATCGTTACTCGATATCCGAGGAGGAGGAAAGGGGGGAGAGGGGGGGGATTTGTTGTGGATACGCGATTTTTCGGGAGTTTTAGTAGAATTGTAAGCAGTGAGAGAGTGCAGGCGAGCTGGTAATCAATCGACATCTTGTAAACCCTGAGATGGGGAACGATAAAAAAACGGACGAACACAACAAAATCTTGATTGGCTAGGACGGCTAGGACGGTAGATCGTTCCGATGACTTCGATAACTGTACCCAGTACTCCGCCGACGCCTTTGCACGTGCATCGTATCGTCATCGGGTATCGTTATCGGAGGTGTCGGAATGATCTAATCGAAGGGAATGCGGACGGAATGGTCCCACGCTCAAACCCGGATAAAATGGGCTCCGATTGAACTTTGAGGGTTTGTCGATGATTGCTTCTACTCGATGATGGGCGAACAGGTAGGAAAGAAAATATTTCGCGAAACAATTTTGTTTACAAGACGACCATTTTGGAAGGGGGGGGGGGGGGGGGTCATTTTATTTGGGTCTGTTTTGTTCTACATTTGTCTTTAGGTGGTGCTGATAGGCCGGACGCTAAAATCTAGGTTTGGGTTTGGGTTGCACAGTTTGTTTTGTTCCGATCGAGGTCTCGGAGTTTTCAAGATGTTGAAATCTTTTCTTTGTGCTAGTATAACGAGAGAGGGGGGGGGGGGGGGGGGGGGGGGCGGGGGGGGATCAAAACATTTTGGATC